AATAAGCCAACAAATTGCATTTAAAGACAGCAAACAGGTTATTTTTATTTTCTCTTGATTCCTTCTGGGTGCTTTGAGTGAACTGAAAGGTGATCTTAAAGTTGTTTTTATGCTGACTTCATATACTGAGAAATGCAACGTTTATAGATAAATGCTCTCACTTTTAATGAAAATTATTAGCTATTAACATTTTGCTTGGAGGCATAAGCCATAGCCCAAACTCCTTTCAAATCCATTAAATATGCTTGAGACCCAGCTGTCAATAGGCACCATGAAGTAAATTTAATTTTCAGAGTCAATACAGAGCACAGCTGCATTAAGCATAGGATAATTCTGGCACATTATTAATTTGAATGGCCATGTAAGGCATTGTCTAGACAAGATATAAGCCCAAGTTTTCATAGGCAATCTGTACATAAAATGAAGTATGTCAAGGTTGTAAAGAATACTAATAACACAGATCTGGCCTATTAACCAATATTGATTGCTCTTACTGTGACACAGTCCAGTAACTTTAGAGGTGAAATAGTAAGATGTTCAGCACTGCTGCTTCTTTTTGAAAAGCAACACTAAGAATGCACTTTTTCAGATGAGGCTTGAATGCCTGCGATCTCAGATGTTTACTGGCACCATGCATGATTTCTAGTAATCTATTTCTGTGGGTTAGGCCATTTTAAAAAGAGGAGATTCATCAGAAACAGCAATTAGTCTTGCTGGAAATATGAAGCATTTTTATTTCAAATGCTGTTAATATTTGATTTTTTCCATAATGATTGTGGCTATGCTCTACATAAATAATGTCTGTTTTAGCAGGTTAAGTAAATTTATACTTGATACTTAGAGTATTTATAAAGTTGTACAGAGTCTGTGTAACATTTCCAAGAAAAAGATATAAAAAAGGAAAATTAATCTTTTGAAAACAGCACAACCCTTCAACAAAAATTTTCCAAATTATTTCTGTGGTCCCATATGAATTCTGTTAAATGATGGCTATTTTGGTGCTTGTTCTGTGAGAAAACAGGCTGGAAGTTCTTCTAAATTGCTAGCCAAGTTAATTTTCTTCACTTTCAGATAATAACAATATTTGGTCTGCATTTTGTGGATGCATTTGCACACTGAGCCTGGAGTCTTGGACTCATTACTGCCAGCCCTGTCTGTCTCCACACGAACAAGTAACAGGGCAATGGGGGGGATCTATGGAGCACAGTAGTTGGTGCTGAGGACCAATATCCTCATTGTACATATTTTCAGTGTGTTTTAATTTGGACTAGGTCTGGTGTGGTCTCAGTGGACCCAATGCTCTGTTGCAACAGTAATCCTGTATAAATGCACTCCCACGGGTGCATCTTAACAGTTTTGAATCATCTAGGTTGTCTGTCCCGATGTGAACTAAAGCACAGGAATGAGGGGAACTCTGAGAGATAAATATCAGGGGCTGAACTAAACCAATAATGCAGAGAAAGCCTTTTGGTTCTTATTTGAGGTGACTAAAGAACATAGAATAATTCATAAATTAAGTTAGATTAGAAGAGATATCAAGAGGTTCTCTAATCAAACCTTCCAAGCTTGCAACCCAGAGCTATGGCAGTGGAGAGGAATAACCACTTTCACAGTGCAAGTTAACACATGCTATGATCGGAAACATTGCTTATGTGTTTTTTTCCTTAACACCTGATGGAAGACAGGAATAACACAGTTCAGAAACTGAAGTTAACACTCAGCATTTAATGCACAAAAAATACCTATAATTACAGAATTCTATCATGATAGAATAGTTTACTCTTTCTGAGGCTAATGGGACATTTTATTTTTGAAGTATGACTAGCAATACTAGCTTTACCTTAGTTAATGCAATACCAGAGAGAATTCTTTATAAAATTATGATTTTATGACTATTTTTAATTTTATGCATCATGATTATACATGTAAGTATGGTATTTATTCAGAATCAAATGTACTGAAAAAGTGGATCCCAAAAGTTTTTTTATAAAGGTAGTAAATTATTTCCTTGCACTTGCTTAAAACTTGTGTTTCAAAGAAAGCAATTGTTCCCTTATTTCTTTATTATATCATATTTAGCTTGTCTTGTCTGGAATTAGACCAATTATTAAATTACATGCTAATCATTTATGCAATTCTTAGTCTTCAGTTTTTTCAACCAATCTTTTATTGAATTCCTATTCTTACCTCATTGCCTAATGAAAGTATTCAGAATTCATGAGATTGAAGTAAAAAGAGAATAAAAAATTTAAACATGTAAACATGTAAACCTTTTTGCTATTTTTTGTTTGTTTATTTTGTTGAGGTTTTTTTAAATTGTTATTATTGTTGGATTAGTGTCTCAGGAAAAAGTCTGACTCCAGGAACATAAACCTTGAAAGGGACAATAAATACTTCTATATTTGCAACAAAATCATTAGAACTGGCATGACCTAAAAGTTTTGTTCTTCTACAGACAATTTTCCTTAAGGAATCTCATTGCTGGTTGGTGCTTCTTGGAACACAAAATAAATTCTTGGTCCCACTGGAGCTCCTTCAATAAAATGTACTGTCGCAGTCACCTCTTTTACACCTCTTTTTATCATATAGAATAACCAGTTCACAGAATATTTATTTTCTTTGTTTCCTGATTCACAATTGCCTTTTGGCTACTAAGTCTGTAGTTAAATAATATTTTTTTATCAGAATAAATATAGTTTCCCTTTTGATTCCTGTATGTATAAATCTTCCCCCCTAGGTTTTTTCCTTAGAACATCTATATCAGGTTAAGTATGATTGCTTATTTTTCCTAAATAAGTTCAAATTGCATTCTGGATATTACAAAGTAATCAGTATTTTCTGATTTTCAGATTGCTGTGTTGGCATATTACAAATATTTTATGATACAAAGTTTTTACTTAGTTATTTTGACTTCTATATTAATAACCACCTGTTTTTAGCCTGACTGGTTATTGAAAAATTTACTCTTCAAGTTATATCATTTAGTTTTTTCACCTCTGTCTCAGCTCATAATCTTGCACAAGTAGTTTGTGGTACTTATAACTTTCCTACAATCAGTTACAGCAAAAAGGATGAAATGACAATTTCCAAAAATCTCTCCTTTATGATTTTCCAGATGCATTTTCATGGTTAAGTGTAGTTGTTGACTCCTACATGCAGTCTCTTTCTGCTAAGTGTTCCAAGTTTTCATATGGTTTGATATATGCTTAGGTCATCATGGTTTCCTTTGGGCTTCACTAATTGCAGATCAAGTTATTTCCAGCTTTGTGAGAAATAAATCCATGTACAATTCAACAGGAATACTCAGAATATACAACCTGTACTTTTCTGCAGAGCCATTCTCAAAAGAAGAGGCAATCTTCTGCGCACTAGGAACTTCCTTCTTTCTTTTCAGTGGTGTGAAAGCCTTAGATCTGAATACATGTGAATATTGAAGGAGTGATATTGATGCAGACATTTTGGCTAAGGACAGGTACAGTTACCAAGCAGGTTTTTTATACACATGAACACACTTTTTAAAAAGAACGTGGAGGATTTTTACCGTTCTTACTGTCGCTGGCCAACAGAGAAATAGATGAGCAGACAAAGAATCAGAAACAGAAGGTGGCAAATATTTGTTAAATAACTCAGCATCAGTACCTGCCCATATGTACCTCTGGAAATATTGAATTCCATAAATCAATTTACAGCAGGGCTTCTTAAAAAGATGCAAATGGGATACAAACCCAAAAGTTATCTCTTTGAAACATACCGAAATCCTTGAGGTGAATATACTCGCATTTATTTCCAGCTACCAAATGGTCTGAGAGTCTGAGCTACTGCCTGGAACTTAAAACTTCAAAAGAGAAACTTGCTAAAATAAAAATGCATTAGTCTGCTAGCACAATGCTACACTGGTATTGCCACTGAACATAGCTGATAAAATTTGCACATACCAACAGCATGTTGCATTCCAGTATTAAGAAAAGAAATGTCATTTTATAGCAGTCCAATTTGTGGGTCTTGCAAAGCAGGCTCTGTACTGTCTTCAGAGTAGGAATATTTTCTGAGTGATTTATACAAAGACAGCTGAAATGTTAATTTAAGGAAGCTTAAAATACAGCTTCTAAGAAAAGCAAAACATTCTACTATCTTTTTGGAGAGAGCAATTTGAAGTGTCTTCTTGCTGCAAAAGACAAAGAATAAAATAATTTCAAAATTGAGCAGGATCAGTTAATATGATTTTATCAGTTTGTTAATACATGCATATGTGTTAATACATGCATGCTGTCTGTGCACAGAGATCTGGTGTTATGACAGTTTGGTATCTTGTAATGGACATACATTGCTTACATTTGAGATGGAGAAGCAGCAAAAATCTGTAGGATGACCTTTAAAAAAAAACTAGACTAGTCGCAATACAGTTTTTTTTGTATTTCTGGATCTGGGAAAAGCTCAGTTGTGCCTTGTGTACAAATTTAATCCCTCTCCTTCCATGCTTCTGTTTCCTCTGTCAGTAAAAATCCTAGATGCATAAACCAGCAGGAACAACAGCACACCCCAGGCACCTCTCTCAGGAGGAGAGTAGGACTAGAGAGCACCCTGTTGAGTGTTGCCAACCCTTTACACCTATTGCTTCTTCTGTTGCAATGGAGCCCCCAGAGTCCTTGCAAAATGTTAATTTTCCTTTCATGACAGTAAGGCACAAAGCACAGGAGGATGAAACGAAGAAAAAACAACAAATAAGACATTAGCAATTAGTTTAGGTATTTTTCACTCCCATTAAATATTTCAGAAGGTGACCCATGCTGAGAAATTGTCAGCACTTCACTGCTGCAATTATGACTCCAGTGGAAATCTTAGTGAAGCTAATGAGTGCTTTCATGTACAGACGGCCTGTTGGATTAGTATCATTACTCACTGTACAACCTGGGAGAGTGGCTGCAGCCAAGACAGGTGCCCTACCAGGCTATGGACTACGCCAGCACGTCACAAAGAACAGGTATAACCCCCACCACAGGTTTCTTACAGAACAGCTGTAGGCAAAGAACAGGAGAAGGGAAGCGCCTTGGCTCCTTTTAGCTCCACACCAGAGCTCAGAGACAGTGAAATAATCAGCTGAAGGTCATACAGAAAGTTTGTGGCAGAGCAAAAAAAGTGAATGCAGTTTCCCAGGTGAAATCCAGTAATTTCAGTATCATACTGTTGTTTACTCCCAATCATTCACATGAGCCAACAAAGAGCATTTCTTGAGCAATGCTGTACAGGGATTGAGGCTGCCCAGCTGCTATTCTTTCTCACAGCATATCTCTTTCACCATAGTTTTCTTTAATAGACTGTAAGTTACTGACTATATGCAGGTAGCAATAATGAATGATATAATTAGCTAGATAATTCTGTTTTTCTTCAGTAAAAGCTTAATAGTTTGTATAAGAAAGCACTAGATTCCTTTTAACTGTTGTTGTTCTATGTATATGCTGAAACCACAAAGGACATTGATTATTTTAACTATGCTCAATTTGCCTTTGAAACCAACATTCTAAAAAGCAAAAGAGCTTAAACAAACATGAAAGTAATCTAATACTGACATAAACATGAAAGATAATAAGATTATTATGAATTGATCTAAATATTACTTAAAATAATTAGAAATTATTTTCCCATGGTATTCCATTTAAGTTAAGCATCTTCTTAGTGTACTTAGAAAAACAAGCACAGCATTACTTCCCAGAATTTTAGTTGGCTTTGTTTATGACATTCAGTGAAACAATGGGCAAATATGCATTTCTCTTTATTGCTTTATATTTTGCATACAGCTTATAACCAACTCTAGTTTTGTACCAGTTAATTTTGTAAGGGCAGGATTGTTGCAGTTTTAATACTGTATCATTTTATTACTTTAAACCATGAACCAATTGAATTTTTTTTCTTTCTTGGCACCATTTCTTCTAGCTAACTTTATGAAAAGCAGTAACATGAAGGAAACAAGTCATGCTAATGACCCTTACAGCCACCAAACAAAAATGGCATGCATAGAGAAAAATACCAGTTAAATTTCAGTGCCATTTGTCAAATTAGCTATGGGGCCAGTCTCCAAATTAACTCAGTTTGGCCTTGCTTTCACTACCTCAGTCCCAAATGATTTATTGGAAGTTTGGGTCTTGTAAGAAACATAGCATTTGTTTTCCTTCCTAAGGATTATCCAAGTTATCTGAATATAACTAATTTTTGAAAATAGGATTAAAAGCTGAGAGCACCACGTTTTCTCTCAAGATTTAAAGATCAACCTGCCTTAATACAGTCTAGCAACTGTTTTCTTTTGTAATCTAAGAAGTACTTTTCCTGATTAAAAAGAAACAAAAAATATTATTTGGATAAACTATTTTCCATTATTAAGTTAAATATTTTAAACACTTAAGTGAATTTAAAAATAAATCCAAACAGGAAAGATACCTGCATAGTTTGGTAGAAATATGAGGACTTTCACTGTGTTTCCTGCTCAGTTCCTCAATCTGGAATTATGAAGTTTTCCTTTGCATGCCAAATCTATGACAAAAGATGAATGATCATTTAGTTTTTAAGGACTGCAATGACTACATATTTATCTAGGTGTTTCATTAGATGTAAATACAGTTTCTCTATAGCTGTATTTGGAAGTCAGGTAGGAAAGGCTTGGAGAGACATCTCAAGAATTGCTCATGAAGCACAAAACACAGAAACAGTAAAAGTTTAGAAGATAAAGTTTTCAGACTTGAGTCTGAAACAAAAATCCCTGACACACAGCAGCTGTGGGTGGGAGAAAGAATAACTGCTTTCTTAGGTGCACCCTTTATCCCAGTTTGTCACTTGGCTCATGATGTTGGGACTCGTCATGATGCACATTCGACTTTCCTGGGGCAAGCAAAAGCTCTTAGGCCTACTGAAACCTAAGAATAGCCTTATACCAAGATGACTTTCAAGGCAGCATCATTGCAAGGGGAGCTTCATGAAAATGGTCCTTAAAGCAATTAGCCTCCAAGGTCTGGCATGGAATAAATGTGGCAAGGAAAACAGAAGTTCCAGAACTATACACTGGAAATGAAAACATCTATTTTTTTAGGAAACTCAAATACAAGTTTCAGATTCCCATTCTCCTGTTGTCCTCATTCCATGCTATCTCACCATCACCCTCCTTTATGTTGTAGGTATCTACATTTCTTGTATGTCTGCTTCTACCAGAGAAATGCCCCAGACCCCAGAATTTCATAGAAAGGACTATCGCAGTCTTGATAGACCCGAACTGTAAGGTTAGTCTTAAGACATCACAGGTTTAAAAAGCAAGGTGTGCTCATCTCATTTACAAGGTCAAAACTTGATGGTCAGGAGGAGAGCTTCTGTCCTCATACCATGGAGATGAGTTTTTTACTGCCTAGAAGCGTTCACCTTTCGAGTGAATCCCAACCGGCACTGAACACAAATCTCCCACAAAGGTGACTTAATCCATAGGCTAGTGAATAGGTAGCTCTTAATCTCTCCCTCTGGAAGTGCTCTACTTCCAGTACATAGTTAACATTCATCTCTGCAGGAACTGTGACTGGATTCTCTCACATTCCAGGGGAGTACCCTGACCATTGGACTGTAGGATTTATTTGTAATTTCCCTCTTTCTTCTAGCCCAGTGACTATTTCATTACTTTTATACACAAACACAAAGAATCATACAGTCACACATCTATAGAATAGTACCCATATTATTTGCAACATATGTTTCTTTTCTACAATTGGAGAACTGCAAAAAATATTACAGATGTCCTGTGTTCATTTAAGAAAAACCCAAACAAAACCAACACAAAACCTCTAAAATGGAGAAATGAAAAATTTTTATGTTAGGAAGCAAATTTCTTACCTATTAACATTACTACCTCACAAGTGGCTGAAACAAATCTTTAGCCTATTGCAATGACTCCCAGTATGTGCATATTGAAGCTGTGCAAAAATCCTAAACCACAAGTAACTCCCTGGGTTTCAGTTTTCGTTATAAGCTCAACACTCAGTTCAGGTTCACTGAAAGGACATTACAAGCCTGGAAAGTCCATGAATGATGTAATGCAGACCTCTCATGTGGCCTACTGTTGCACAGCACAGCATATTGACAGATAGTACTTGCTTCTTATTTAGGAGGTGCTATCATTGCAACACTCCCAAGATCTGGAGCTGTTTCCTGTATACATCACTAAATAAAGACAAAATGCACGGAAAGATAGGGAGGAAACAAAGTTATTATTTTAAAGTGCTTGAAAATATGTTAGAGGAAGGATGGTTATGTGGCAAAGTCCAGAGAGAGCACATTGGATGAGGTGAGATTTATGGCACCCTGTGCGATCTTAACTCTGCTCCTGTGTACATCCAGCCTGTGCTCTGAAAGAAGCAGTCTCTCAGAAAACACCCTGTCACCACATAATTAAGGTCCATAGCATAATACAAATTCACAAAAAGTCAAATAGAATTTGTTGAGATATTTTCTGTGTTCTTCCTTCTGAGATGGAGCCTTATGTAACTTTTCAGTTAAATTTTTCTACATAGGAGATAAATACTTGTTGTTTGGTTTTATATGCTTGTTTGTTTGTTTTTTAAGAAGTAAAAATCAGAAGTTTATTTTAACAATAACCTCCACAGAACACAGAACTAACTGCTACATTTTGGACCTTAAGAAATTATTTTCAACTACTTAAGCTAAGCACAGAATTACTGTGAACAACCACATAAGATGGTTGCTACCTCCTGGCAATCATGGCCTACACCAGCTTTTAGAAAAATGTAATCTATTTGCTCTCAGAATACATCAGCTGTTCTAGTGGCATACAAACAGAGTTTTCCTGAGGAATCTAAACTTAAAAAACAAAATATTAACTTGTGAGGGTTTGTAACTCAGCTGTTCATAGGTGGACTATAGTGAAAAGAGAAAATCCACTTGTTCAGGCCTATAGACTGAGTCAGCTGTGGATTTTTGGTTTTGAGGTTTTATTTGAGGGGTAAAATCAACAGAGACAGTGAGAAAGTGTGTTCCTTCACAATTACTACGAAGGGGCACTGTGTAGCCCTTTAATGAATTTATTTTGCTAGTACAGCTCACATCCCCATTGCACAGGTAAAGGAATACATATTGCATCGCTGGGGTGTCAGATTCTTCAGTTTGTCCTCAGTTCTACCCTGTAGCCACCACTTAAGAATCGGACACATCAACGCATGCACAAGGGATTCTCCCCCTTCCACAGACTCTTAATCCAGTTCCTTTCTTTAGTAAGAGAACAGAAGAGTAGATCTGTCACTAAAGGAGGTTGCAGTTTGCCTTCAATCATCTTAGAAGAGAGCTACCTTTAAAGCTTCTATTTCTTTATGCCCCTGGCAGAAAATAGTTGATAAATTTAATCTAAGAAATGAATTCCTGCTTATAACTGTTATTTGATAAATCTTATTATTCTGACTATTCAACAGAAACCACTCCTGCATGGTAGTTATTATTCTCACACAGTTCTAATTCATACCATGTAGCTTTTGTACAGAGATTAGTATTTTATTATATATAAACTATATATTGTTTGTATAATCTAATTAGGTATTTTGCAAATAAATAAAGACCAAAATTACACTATCTGAACACTAATGTAAAGGTTTAAATACTTAAAGAATGAAACAGTTGCCTTACCAGAAATTTCTGTTGCATTAAATTAAACATCCAGCTGGCATCTTTATGTGTATCACATTTTCTTTCTGTAAAATATTTTGTGAAGATGCATGAGATAACATTAGAAGATAGGTGTTTATAATTCAAAAAATGTCCCACTAATGCTGAAAGTATTGACATTTCTTCCTGAGGTTCTGACAGAAAATACAATACACTGTCTTATGTCAATTGAATAATTAGAGATTATAGTAATTCCTGCAAGGCTTTCATATGTGGCACATTCTGAGAAAATTTCAAAAGATGAGATTTGCATAAAGGTGGGTGTCAGGAAAAACCAGGTGCCTCTTCTCCTACAACAATGACATACTAAAGAGAAAAAATTAAAACTCCTCTGGGGAAAAGTGTTGGCAATGCTCATGTAAATGTTGGGGAAAGCCTGAATTGTAAGTGGAGAAAGGACTTGTCAGTATGCTCCACACCATGTAGGGGAAGTGGGATATTCAGACAATAACAGAGCATTTAGCATCTTTGGATTCAAAAATGGCAATGAAAGAAAATTATAACCACTCACACAGATTTACAAGACCACTTCTACAATTCTTAAGCAAAAAATAACGCCTTTCAAACATCAGTGACTTAACACCACTTCCCCTCTCCTTTTTCCTTTTAATATTGTGTATATATTTTATGTGCATTTTATATACATTTGTCAGGAGAATATTAATGTTCTGCTTTATGATTACCACCACCTTTCTAATCATTGCTTTTTATTATTCTTGTTCAGTACAGCTTAGCCGCTGAGCATGAGCAATGAAATGGGGGGAAAAAGAAAAGCAAATACTGTATTATATCATCATCTGGGGAGCGTGATTGTTTCTGCTGTGTTAATTTACACTAAAATCTATGACCCAGTGAGTCTGATTGATTGCCAAGGGCAGAAATCCAGCCCCTGGCCTAGTTTATTTTGTGAACTGTAGCCTCAGATATCGCTGCAAGCCACAATGATATTGATTTGATATACACTAGATGGGTCTTTATGCTCTTTGGGAAATTTATTGTGCAGAGTCAGAACTCAGACAGATGGGGAGAAGCTGCTCTTTAAATTGAAGAGGGTTATCATGGTTTGACTCCTGGGTCACTCAGGTTACCAAGTGGCCTGAGTGTGGCTGGGTCGGAGCAGGCTCGAGGGATTAGTGCTCATCGGTTTTGAATGTCAAATCTCCTCAGTGGACTTGAGTTACTGCTAATAGGAACTTGCTTGGGCCTATAACATTTGGATGGCCTATAACTTAAACATCATAACCCTTTCTTCATGTCATGGTGCTTTAAATTATGGCTGAGCATACCACCTCTGCTCTGGACGTTTAGCAAGAGATGGCTGTGTGTTATAAAGAAACTTGCCTCCAAGGTGGACTGCATCATTACAGTTCTGGTCGGCAGGAGTGCTGTACCCCCACGCTCCAGTGCCACAGACAGTCCCCTGCCTTCTGCTGCTCACTCACTGTCACCACCCTGGCTTCACACAGGACATACACCATAGTGAAAGCTAGAGCACAGCTCTACTTTCCCCTGAATTCAGTATTTTTCCTTCCTGAGGGAAGAAGATGAGGAGGTCTGGGGAAACTTCAGGTTGTGGGACAAAAAAAAACCTGTCATGATGGGAAATCACATATTCTTTGTGCAACGAATGGGTGAGGAAAACAAAAGGGCGTCTAACTCGGGATAAAGATTGAAGAGATTTTTCTACATAAAAAAAGGCCAGGTCTGCTGTGATTAGCCTTAAGCCTGAACAGCATTTTCACTTAAGCACTGCTAATTGTTAACGAATATTTCATGCTGCAGTAAATGTTGAAGAGAGAAGGAAACATAATATCTATTAATTTAAAAGAACACATTATTCTATATATCATAATAAACCGAAACCTTATAGTTACCAAAGAAGACTCTCACTATATTTTAATAGGTATCTCTAATAGAGCTATAAACTCTACACAGCCCACACTTTCACACCCAGTGTTTGATCAATTTCCTTTCAGATCAAGATCAAGAAAAGGATTTTCAGTCTTATTCAGAGAGGAAGGAAATTAGCCTGAAGGAAGTCCCATGTATCCAAGAGATGGGATAGGACTCTGTGCTGCCACTACAGTGAGAAAGGGAATTCTGTTCCCATTTTTACAAGTAGCTTCTGGCTTCCTATGTACAAAAATCAAGAATTCTCCCCTATTTCTCTTCAACTAGTATATGATTCACACAGGAATGGAAGAAAGTCGAGTTTGTTTTTCTTAAGTAGCTGTTTCCTCCTCTTGATCTGATTTGGTGCAGCTGGGAATCAATCTTCCTAAAGGAAAAACAGTTTTCTCCAAACTAAAACTGCAACACTTATTTCCAATAAAATAAAAGGGGAAAAAATAAAATTAAAAGCCTTCTGGAAACACACATTTATTCTATCCCTTTTTGCATATACCTATACAAAACAAAGACATCTCATAACATTAATGGTAAATGGCTTAGCCTAGTCTTTTGGACTCTATTCTTGGCAATACACTGCAGCTCTAGCTGTGTATTGCAGATATACTATTACCATTTAAATATAATACTGCCTGGCTTGTATCCTAGTCTGAATTTCCTGGGATTTTATTCTTCATTTGAAGTGAATACTAATTGAGAAAGTTACACATTTATATAGCTCCTGAAGAGTAACACCCACTTCACCTATCTCTCTATTGTAAATTAATATGTAGCAGATGGTGAGCTGAGATAGTTTGACAGCCTACTTACAGCACCATCACTTTAACCTCTATCTGAAAAAAAAAAATCCCATTAGCTTTTCTGCTGTTGGGCTCTTAACCCCCCAAAGTATCCTTAGTTATCATATCATGGGATTTTCTGCAATGCCAAGGAAGAAAATAATTAAAGATACCCTCTTCCATTTAAATGCTTGTTCTAATTTTACTGGGCATATCTTTTCCTCTTAACTTCTCCAATAATTTCAATTTAAATCTTCATTTAGAATGAGATTTTTCTTCCAAGGGGATTTTTTTTTTATCTTCAGGGACAACTTAGTGCACTGCAGAAGCAAACACAGAAGCCCTTCCATATATTATGATTAATATAGTGTAAGGAGCTCCCCTTGCTAGAAATGCAGAATCAAAGGAAGCAGAACCCATAAGTAGAATTTAAATTCAATACACATTGGAATCTTATGGTTCAATTCAAAGCGGCTCTGAAGGAAATAATTAGACACTCACCAAGGCTTTCAGTAAGAAATAACTTTCCCCAAAAATGGCCTGCTCAAAGTCTTCATTCAAAGTACTGCCACTTTTTTTTCCCCTCCTCTGTTTGCAATAGAGAAAGGAGAAGGATTTTTTTAAGATGTGGGAGTCCATATTAAAAGCTTTAAATTTAAATCACCCTTAAAATAAACGGCCTAATTGAATGTTTTCTTCTGATGGGCTGATAGAAGTGCTTTATTTGTTGCAGAATAACAAATTCTGATCATTTCAGAGATTTGCAAAATTACTGATAGTGTGTATTTAAGACTCTTCCACATGGACTGAAACAAGATATTGTTCAGTCCCACAACATTGTTCACATTCTGTTGTTTGCAGGTTTAGAAGAGTAAGAGAAAATGCTCAGTGACCCTGAAACAGTATTTGGACTGGAAGCCTCACATGTGCAAGGTAACAAGAATGTCCCATAATTTGCAGGCTTGATAGCACATGATTGTCTTGGGCCACTACATTCACCACGGCATCTGAAATTTGCCTTAACTCTTGCACATTTTACAGTAAAATGGACCAAAACTTGTATTAGAATTTGAGTTCTGCTCAACTCTCTTCTAACATGAGAGTGTGAATGGAAATTTTCAGTTTCATCATTTATCTCCACAGCTCTTCTTGACTCTGGCAATTTTAATACATACATATGCACCCAAACCCAGGCCCAAATAGATTTGGTCTCTCTTTCTCCTCTCTCACAAAATGCTGACTTACGTATACTAAAGGCTGTCTCATTCTGACATACAAAGAAGGAAGGAATTAACATTAAAAAAATCACGTATGATTTCTGTTTAGATGTCTTTTTTCCTTTCCATTGTGAGTGAATGCAAAATTTCTGCTCTCTTGTCTGACACCTGAAGACTAGGGATGTTTCAAGCTATTTCCACTCCAGTGGAAATCCCGTGATTGCACCTGTGGTGCAATCAGAAAATTTGCGTATTTTTTAAGTCCCTCGTGCAGCATGAAGAACTTTTTCTCTGCATAGATATTCCACCAAGGAAGGGCAAGAGAAATTATAAACCGCACTCACGGGACACCCAAACCAGCTCCAACCCTTATAAACTACCTGGAGTGATTGCAACAGCCATTCCCACCCAAGCATTGCAAAGGCACAGATGAGAGCAGCTGGGCAGGGAACTGGAGCGGCACAGAGTAGTCATGAGCCTCAGATGGGGAAGGATGAATTTCACCTCACCAGTCCCTTTACACAACCAGTGCATAGACCCTCAATTACTTTAGCCTCGTATGAGTGCAGGAGATTGAATTTCACCCAGAGAATTAGAAATACAAATAAACATTTTATTAAATAATTAGAGCTCATAATTGTGGATTACCTTTCATTTGTATTAGAGGAAGGCCTGGTATGGTCAGACCCCAGAATCTTGTTTGGTGTTTACGTCACATCTGATTTCTAACTGACATTTCAGAATGGTTTATTTTCTTTCATGCTATTTCTTTTTCTATTAAAATTGATTCCAGATATCAGAAAAAGAATTAATTTCCCCTCATCCTATATTGAGATAGAAGGCTGAAATAGCAGACTGAGAACAACTTTAATTTTCTTTCTACTAAGAAAATACTTTACTTATTTAATTGTTAACTTTTAATACTTTCTCTTTGTAAGTCTGAGAGGTAACCAAAACATTTTTAGCTATTTCCCCAATTTTATATACTATGGAGAATGTCAGTAATGTCCCTTAACACACGTCCAAGTAACATAATAAAGTTCCCATATTTCAGAATAACAATGTTAGCAGGAGGCTTAAATATGACTTTGAAATTCTTTCAGTCTCTTGTTTTTAATAAGGTAAATAGGTCATGATTTTTCATAACACTTAGAGTGTTTGTGACTGATTAAGACTTTATTCCTTATTTGAAAAGCCTAATTTGGATCTCAGTTCAAATTCTTAGATAAAACTCTGCTGAAAGATTTTGAACTGCTATCTTTTATACAGGGCTGGCGCAGTGATTTTCCGGGAACTAAGGAAGAGCAGGGACTCAGTCACTCTTGGAGAGAGTGGAAAGGTCCTACCATTTCTGGGGAAAACTGCTTCCAGTCAAAATTTTCCAGAATTTCCTGTCTGGATGGAAAGTTACTGAGTTGTCTATTGCTGCAAATGGCACAGGTTTGTTAATTGCAAGATGAGTAAAGCACTTTAAAAGAACAAAGTCTACTCTGAGGGTTGTGCCCAGGACCAACATGTTTTTCAAGCACTTGGGAATGTTCTTGAAGACAAGAATCAGATCAAAGAAGTCAACTAATGCCCCCAGACCTAATGCTAAGCCTTTAAATGGAGAAACAGAGGCCTTAATAATTTTTATGAACTTGATTACTTTTCTATTTTCAATTTTTACAAGGAATGTCTAGAACACTGCCACCTGTAGCACTACTGATAACACTTCAAATCCCCGCCTAAGTTTGAAAATGTGGCCTTTGTGATGATGGTGGTTATTGAGAGGTGCATAAATTGGAGTTACCTGACTAGAATGACAGCAGCTTCACCATTGCTAAAAATGTGAATGAAGGCATTAGCCAAGAGCATGTAAAATTCAGACATAATCCTAACAGTCTGAGATGAATTTGTATGGTCTTCTGTGTAACATAAGCCATGTCTGAATCTTTATCTTTTTTCTGTTTGTTTGTCTGTTGGTTTGTTTGTTTGTTTGTTAGGTGGGGAAAAAAAAGAATAAAATAAAAAGCAAGTCACCAAGCAATATTTTAAAACCACACATATTAATAGAGCTATATATACTTTCACTACTGAAAATGTGTTTCCCTTTTCACCCTAAATTTACTAAGGCTTTACTTCTAGCCATTTGATCTAATTATAGTTTTGTCTGATAGATCAAAGAGCACTGTGTTATCAAATTTCTGTTCGTCTTGGAGTAGCATCATACTGGGAACTCTTGTTCAGCTGATTATCTTCCATTGACCTTGCCTTCACCCCAAGAATCCTTTTCATCATCACTACTTTATCCAGTACAGTCCCCCAACCATAAATATGTCTTTCATTCTTTGAGTACATGTAGGTTTTTACAACTTGCTACATTAAAGTGACCTCATGTTGCCAAGCAAGCCAGGTAGTTCTGCAGCAGTGATTTGTCTTCTTTATTATCTCTTGTACCTGCTTCTTTTCTGCCACCTGCAAACTTTTATGGGTTGCTATTTAAAGTTGTCTTCTATATCATTGCTAAAAATAGAATAAAGAATAGAACTATTTTTTCAGACCTTATATAAAAGCACAGGCTAATGATAATTTCTGCTTAGAAGCACTTTTTGAGTCTTACTGGTTAGCTAGCCTTTAATCCATTTAATATATTACATGTTGATTTTGTACTGCTCTCATTTCTTAATCAAAGTGTTGTGTTGTAATAAATGGAATGCCTCACTGAAACCTCAGTACTCTATATCAACTTGATTATCTTAGCAACTAAATTTCTAATCTTATTAAAAATATATTAAGTTACCTTGATAAGATCTATTTCTGATACACCCATATTGACTAAGACTAGGTTTTTTTATTCTCTTTTGATTCTTTGTACATTAAGTCTCCTATCAGCCATCCCATCATCTTTTTCCAGTGTTATTATGACAGCAGGCCTGCAGTTACTGACATCATCCAATTTTCCCTTTTTAAATATCAGTACCTCACTAGCCTTCTAGCCTTCAGGAAAACATCAGTATTTTAAGAATTACTGAAAAGCAGTGATAGCAATACAGCAAAATTAATGCCTTCAGATTATTTGAAGCAAGTACTTAAGGCTACTGATCTCAAAATGCCCAACTTTAGAGACCATTTAACATTTCTTTGCTTTAATATAGAGGTGGAATATATTAGGATTCCCTTTATTTCGAAACTACTATCAGACAATCTATACTATCTATACCTTAGCTCTTTTGGTCAATGATTTTTTGTTTTGGTTTGGTTTTTTTTGGTATCTTTTTTTGTTTGTTGGTTTGTTTGCTACTCTCTCAGTTTTGGGCAGTTATTAGTTTAAGTTCATTGCTCTCCATTTCTTCTCCCCTTTACTTTAATCTTGTTTCTATATATTACTTTTTAGTTCCCTTTGTTTATAGCTGCCTTCTTTTCCCTACTAAACCAGGCTCTTTTTTAAATTCACATAGCCTTTCCTGTCAGGTATGGAAATGGTTTTGGACACCCAGTAAAACGTTGTTTAACAGTTTCAAACTGCCATTTACATTTTTCTCTTTGATTCCTCTCTCTGGCTTGACATGTCTTTTAATTATTTTCAGGTTTGTGAAATGGTTCTTTTAAAGCACCAAAAACATATATTGTATTTTGGATGCTCTCCTGACTAGTCTAGCCAGCCTTTCTCCAAGAACATTGGTTTCTCTTCTGAGATGGAAGCCATCCAACCCCTGCAGCATGATATCACAGATGGCAAACCAGTTTTTTAAAAAATAAAATCTTTTCTGTGTACAACTTAATTGATAAGCTATTAAAGGTATTACTATTAATTCATTGCTGTCTGGATTTTTTGCTTTGCATTTCCTTTCTCATTTGTTACAGGATATATAACCTCTGACAGAAATGTTCTACTCTTTCAGCACTTGCTTTAGCACCATTAGGAGTTGGCAAAGTGAAATATCCTGTCTAGAACAGTGATCACATCACTTGAAGGACTGGCTTAATCTTATTAAACTTAGAATCACGTTTCATCTCCTGGCTCTCCCAAGACAGAAAAACTCTATTTGTATGCAACATCTCCAATGCATAATGCAGCCTCTTAAGGAAAGGACCCCTAACAAGGACCATTCCACTAATCATGTCTGAACTATATGAATATAATTTGTCAGATGGGCGCTCAGAGGTTTTTCTCTTATTTCCATGCTGATAAGATGACTGTACAACTTTAGCCATGCTGAGTTTACTCTGGGACTCCATTAGCGAGACCTTTCTCTGGGTTAAAATTCTTCAATGTCAAAAGGTAAATCCACAATAAAGTAAGTGTAATGCAGAAGCCTGAAGCTCCTACCCTAGTGGACTTACGTTCAGTACAGCAAATGATCAGTGGAGGCCAAGAAGGCAATTCAGCTCACCCTAAAGTATCTCTCTTTTCCTAGTAATGAATAGTTAGTATAGTACATTAAAAAATTAAACTGTAAGATAGATGAAGATTATGAGGCATTTTTGAAACTCACTGAAAAGTGCCAGAGAAGACTTGCAACCGTTTTACTATTATCTTGTGGCTAAGCTTACAGCAGAAAGAACTTCCCAGTTGTCCCAAGAACTTGCTTGACCTAATGTTTGGTTTGACAGAAACTGCGGTGTAGATCTACGGTTAACACATCATCAAAAAAAATCATTGATATTTAGTGGCTTGAAAGCACATGCATAAAAATGGCTACAACCATGAAGTGAGAAATGACATTTCAGACAACTTTAATAATGTATTGCTCTTGACCTACATTGCTTATCAGTTACTTGGTAGCAAGACAAAATATTAGTGTGATGGGGGATCTTGATTTTAATTTTCATTAGAAAGTAAAATGAACCAAGATAGTGTTAATGAAGCAGCACTGGGTTTCCCACCTGGATGTCAGCATTGTTTCACATCTAAGAACTTACGCACTTCCTCTAAGAACTTATTTCATTTTTAGAGGGAACAGCAAGACAAGTTTGGAACAGCTGCTGTCTGGAGAATTACTCAAGGTATCTAATGATCCAGTTGATTTTCAGTGTTCTAATAAACTATAAATAATATAATTTCTGACTCTTCTGAAAAGAGACAGCTAAAGTTTGTACAGCATGTAGCTGTTATGTTGCATTTGATTTAGAAAAAAAGAACTATAGAAGGAAAATTTGTGAGGCCAGGTGCAAAGTTTATAATCACAGAAGACATTAAAGAGCCATTTCAGTGCTCTCCTACTTCCTTTAATTTTTATGCCTGAGGAATATATCCATAACAGCCTTATCTTTCTGAGCTTAATACCAGCCTGGAGACTGCACTCCCTGCTGAAAGCAAAGAGATTTATTTCTCTGATTCCTAACTTAATGTTTATTTTTTCCTTCTCTGTACCTCTTAGGTCTTCTTTAACTTGATCATTTCAGATGCCTAGGCTTCTGCAGCATCAGTCAGACTTCTCTACCTACTGCAGTTTCTTTGCATCTTTTGTCACAAAAATTATAGATTCACAATGAAAAGTGCTTCAAATATGGCAAAAGCCACTTTTCCCTCTTATCAAAATTGGAAAACTTACCAGGCCAGATCAAGTTACTTGTTCATTGGCAGATGCTGAGAGCTTCATACCTCTTTTCCCATGTTTCCACATGAATCAGCATTTCAGAAGTTTTATGCTGATTTACTTTCTCACTCTAAACAAAGCTTAGGAATTTGGAAATCAGTTATTTTAAATGAAAACAGTGCAGACTGAAACATAATTTCATCAGGCTGTGTTACATACATCTCACATTCTTTTACCAATTTCTGTTCATTATATCATAATGATCACAAATCTTTTGTGGTAGATGCTGCTTTCTAACTTTAAAAGTAGGCATAATTTTTAATATAGCTTTGACAGAGTTTCTGACCCCGGATCTAGACAGCATTTCTTCCATGCATCTACAGTGGTCATTGGTGTAAGTGCACAATGAGTTGCATATGATGAAAATCACTACATTTATCTTACTAATTAATATTTAGCTTGCTCAGTGTCAGATTTGAAGCTGCATTTGGGCACTTATGTGCCAAGCTAGCCTTTCAGAAGTAGCTAAATACTGAACCACTGTAATCAAACTGTCAAAAAACTATAAGAGTACTTTCCAGACCCACTTAGTAAAGATTCCTTTCTAGCTTGTTGATTGCCTAATGTGCATAGCAGTTGTACCGGTATTTAAAAAGTTGAAAACACATGCCTGAGCAAAGGGAAAACCAAGAAAAAATATTTGAAAGGAAGACATCTCCAGGTGTCTGCATTCCTCTCCAGGAATACAGAACATCTGCAGAAGTGAGACAGAGTGGGGGTGACTTCAAGAAAACATGGCACTAAGTGGAAGGATTAATCTTCAAACTTTCTTTGCCTCTGTTCCTACTGATGTAAACTCTCCTGGCCTGTCATTTGCAGGAGGATTAAATGGATATTCCTGTTTTGAATCATGCTACTGAAAGATGTTTGACCTCCTTCTGTGTAAAAGTTGATGGATCATTTTTAATAAATCTGCTTCCAACTGGGCTACACAATAAGGGTGCAAGGGAATGAAACCTGGGGGTAAGTAGAGACGGTACTACAGCATATGGAAAGTTTGTATAAAACTTATGATGTTAACATGACTTCTTTCACCTAAGGAGAACCTATAAACTTACCTACTTTCTCAGCCTACAAATTCCTTAGTATTTCCCTGGGGATAGCTGAATGGTTCAATTCAAAGGATTTTTTTAATTCTTGTAACTCTAATCTTCATCATTATTTCTAATTCCTTAGTACGAAACTAGAAATATTGATGATCTAATACATTTTACAGAGCAGCACACAACCTTCTTTATGGCACTTACATCATTATGCAATATATTATAAAGCAACTTGCATGTTGTAAAACTCATTAAAAAGATATATTTTTTCTCTTAGCTTGAGTTCACGATGGCCAAAATTGAGGTGGAAAGCTATTAAAGTTCCAGAAATCCTAGCAGTACATGCTCCTTTCAAATGTTCTTTTCTGCCCTCTTGCTTGGTGTTTTCTGTCACATTTTCAGTATTTCTGATGTGGGTCTATTGAGAGGTAATTTCTCAGCACGGCAGCTGAAGTAAGACTCCTATGGGATTAGTAACCCAACCTTATAAATTGTTACCTGGTTTCTGTCATTTACGCTGATTTGGTCAGGACAGTTGCTAACTGAATGAAAGTGGTGTAAGCCAAGGTGAAAGAAGAATGATACTGAAATATAATATAAAAAAATAAATTAAACTTTTGTCATAAATGATTGGATAGATTTTAACTTGTCAGTGCTTTATCGACAGTGAGTTACTAGGCACTTTGTCTGGGAAAGCCCCAGAAAAAGGTAGTATGCTGTGCATTTTAAAAATTAATTTAGTGTTTTTAGGCTTTTACTGCTTTCATCATTTCTCAGGTTCCTGTGTCTGCTACTCTCTTGTATGCTGTATATGCACATCTTGTGCTGACTTTGTGGGATTTTTTGGCTGCAAAACCTAGACAATTACCAGGGCACATGCATAGTGCTCTAGTGATTGGGAAAATTAGGGAATGTCATTACACTGAAATACCAGCAGGAATACAGTTCAGTTCTGTTCCCGTTGAAACCGGTTGATTTCAGAAGGACTGTGTTTCAGACACAGACTGTAATTTGCTCTGCTGAAAATGGCCACCCCGCCAACAGCATCCTACTTCACTTGCAATTTAAGAACTAGCATAGCCTGTCAAGCCTAGCAGCATGGAGGCATAGCCTGTTTTTGCAAGTGTAGAGCAGACGTTGCTTAGATGAGAGTAGAAGCTCACAGTTCTCTGTAGTGGTCAGGCCAAATTTTAATACCAACTTGCTCATACAGGCAACACCAAAACATTATTGTTGCATCTTCAGTTTAATTTGGAGATAAGCAGAAGTTAAAAGACAAGCTGTGTTGCACAATTAATTTACATACTTTCTCAGTCATTTTTTAATGAGGTTACTGAAGAGATCTTGTCTTCACCTGAGCACGTAAACATCCTATCACCCACTACCTGAATACCCCAAGTTCCTACAACCTTCGGATAGAAGTAAAACCAAGGCGAGTCTTTTCACTTGCCCAAGCCTTCGCTGTTGAGATTAATTTCTTACTGCCAGTCAGGAAAAAACATAAACTCCAGGTATTCAGAAAAGAGCAAAAACCCAGGTATAAAGCATGTCTTTACACAGGATTCTCCTTGGTGGATGGGGAGATAAATGATGAAACATATTGCAGCATATTTAGAACAGGAGTGTTGTTTCTGCTTTCTGGGAAATATCGCTGCTGATTAAAAGCAATGCAGCTGCTTGGAGAGTGAAATAGATCCAATAAACTACAGGCCATACCCTCTCAGTGCTAATTAAGGTGTTAATTAAGAAATGTTATCTTGAGGAGGTGTAATTGAGGGAAGGAATCCTTCATACATTTTTGTGTACCAGTAAGCCAAGGATAAGAGACGGTATTTTCAATCCTGATTTTTTTAATGAGAAGATGGATAGTATTTATTGCTTTAACTAAGCTCCCTGCATATATAGAGCCCTTTAGTTAAAAAAAAAATCTGCACCTCAACCTATTAATACATGAAGTCCAGTTGTTGTAAGGAGAAGATGGGGCACTTTTATGATTTTTTTGTCACTGCTTGGTTTGTATCAGTCAAAATCAATTCTGGGAGTGTAGTGGGTCTTCCCTACAGCTGTCTCAGCAGGAAAGGTGTTTTGGTGGTTCTCAGTCTCCCTACATCATCATAAAGCAAAAAGCCACTCCACCTC